CTCAAGTTCTTCACATCACACACAGTACACACTCATGCCCTCATATATGCAAAGATACATACCTGTAGGCCTCTCATACACATTAACGAGAGGCTGGACATGTATGGATGGATAGATGTGTATATATATATATATATATATACACATCTATATATATATATATATATACACACACACACACACACACACACACACACTCAGAGAAAGGGGATGAAGATGTGCGCTGCTGGCACATACAGTAATACCATTTATCTTAACAGGAAAAATAGCCATAGGGACAGGCTTTTTAACCTGCCGGATTGACACTCCTCTTAACAACGGTTGGTAGGCTAGAAGCTCCCAACAGAAAAGAGGTTTTTACTGTACTAGCAGCATATAACATCATAAGCAGGACAGAAAACCAATGGACCCGATTTACAAAAAGTGGTGTAAAGTGTTTGAAGCATTTCCAAATATAACTCAATTAAGTAAAAAGTCTCATTGTATGCAATGGGTACCATGTAATCACCTTGTTTCACTTGCTGGCCCCAGTGAAAGCAGCAGGAGACACAGCAAAAGTGGAACTTTATAATGTTTTTTTTTCTCTGGAACAGATGCATACAGCTAGGAGACAGGTGGAGTAACACACCTGAGGCCCTTAGAGGGCGCTGGATAAGATTTATTAAATCAACGTTAGCAGTTATTGTTGGCACTGAATATGACTTGGTGGAGGATCTAAATTTATTGCATGTTGCTTAATTCTTTTCATCAGTATGTAAAATAAATGCATGGCCTCCCCACAAGCCCCGAACTCGATCACTCTGTTAACTCCGCCTCCATATTGGATCTTCTTCCTACCATAAGCCCCGATATCAGTGCACAGCATTAGGCATATCGCTATCAGTGCACAGCATTAGGCATATCGCTAAGTCTTCTGCTCAGATTACAGCTGATGTCCCCCGTAGCGCTGAGCCCACTCACTCCAAGGGATGATTATGCAACTTTTTAGCAACGCTCGGGCATAAAAATCTTATGTACCCCACTCTTGCCTCCCAAGGATGCACGTTGGGGCCTGCCGGCAATGCACTGTGTTGGGAGTACTCTTTTAATCAGACTCACCGGGGCTTGTTCCCTGGACCTCCCCCTCCCCCCACCCCCACTTATGGTATTGAATATACTTTATGTAAGTTACATTATTTTTGTGTACTTGATTATTGCATAACTGTTTGATATTTCTTATCACAATAATACAAATTTACTTGTGAAAAAATAAATGCATGGGCTATATTCAAATACAAAATGATACACACAATAAAATATTATATCCTCCAAAAAATAAACACATGAAAAGCATCATAGCACCAGAACTGGATTAGGAAATCTACCCACATTAACTATATATAAACTATATCTTTTGTGTGCCATTTGTGTCCCACTGGAGAGATTTCCCTTCACCTCCTATGTTGCTGACAGAACAAAAAGTTAGAGAAAACTCCTCCAAAGTGAGGGAAATACCCTCTTGGTTATCACCAGAGCAAGACGTCCCCTGTGGACAACTCAAAATTGTGGTAGTCCTGGTAACAGTAGTCAACAGGACAAATGAAAAGATTAAATCTCCCCGACGGGGACACAGATAGCAATGCAAAACAGACTGTATTCAAACCACAAAACAAAAAACACAGATTTTTTACTTTAGATGCACTTTAAAGCAAAACCCTAGATATCCATTTCAGGCCAAGCATCCTTTCTATGATGTTTACCACTAAAATAATTTGCCAGCTTTCTCTCCTTCCTGTAAATACAACCCTCATCATGCATTGCACTCACAGAGGTTCACAGAGTACATCATTCTACGCAACTACATGCCTCCCGCAAGACAGTCCTCACAGTTACTTATTAATGACATGTCTCATAAAAGGAGCGGACATATCTCTCAAAGTTAGAGCCTAAAAGATAGTATTCTTTATAGCATCAGTCTTTTAAAAACCTTATTGGATTAGAAACTAAAACTCAAAAAGTAGTAAAATATACAAATATGCTCCTCATTCTGCTTTTTATTCCAAGTTTTAGAATGATGAATGGTGAACATTCACTCCAAAGTTTGACATGACAAAACTCTTGCTTTTAGAATATTAGTATATCAATTTATTAGAATCTATACATGTGTACATACATTTTTACTGAATTATAAACAAAACCAGATACACACAAAACAAAGAAAAACATACACATGAAGAAATAAAAGAAAGGCGAGTGAAGCGTTAGACAATAAAAAAGGAAAGGCAAGAATATACAGTAAATATAGCACCAGCTGACAAAATATGCATTCTGTAGTTTAAGTCAGGCACGTCAACTTTGCCTTCATGGGCCGCCTACTTCTTCAAAGCCCTTGATCAGTTTAAAGAATTTTAGTGAATAAAAGGTACCTGTTCAACATCCAAATAAGCCTACTCTTCCTTATAAAATTTTGCAGAGGGGTACTTCAGAAAGTGTTTTTTAGCACCAATATAATGGATAAATATAGTAAGTTACAGTGACTAAAATGTTTTTTGGAACTAGGTAGGTGTAGCACATAGTAGATCTAATGTGGCCCACTGCAGAGTAAAACTATTCAATGCGTCCCTCTTTTTTATTTAAAGTGGCACTAAACTGAGAAGTTAAATCTTAAAAATGCAAGCACCCTATTAAAAAAAATGTATCTTATTTGTGTATCACTCGGCTGTAGATACTCAAATCTGGAGCGAGCCTGCATGGCACCCAATCAGCTTCTCCATTTCATTCTCAAATCTTAACCTAATAAACTGAAGAGAGAAGCTGAATGGTTGCCATGGACAACTGGTCCAGATTTTGATAAATTCCCCCTAGAGTGTTATCACTGGTTGGCCCTATAGAGCATTTGGGTAGGGTTGGAAATCACAAACATGGAGATTTTTGTGGTAAGCTGTTCAGTTAATTAAAAACAAGTGATTTTATAGTGATTCAGTCCATCAGTATTCATTGCTGCTGAAATAAACATATCAGGAAAAGGTGGATTTTAACGTTACAAAACTTGAAGAAGCTATCACAGCCTTAAAAGATATAAATGCTTAATTTGCCAGAAGTAAAGTAATTTTACATTGCATCAACATAGGTTGAAGTTTAAATTAAGATTTTACGCCATCAGCCATCTCAAACTAAGAGAAAGGTAATTGTAATGATTTCTTATTTGCAGGACCAGAAATCATCTAAGGGTTGCTGTAGGTGGTTATCTGACTGGAAAATGTCTCACAGGTGGAGGTGCTACATACAGGGCCAACACTTTTTCACCTTTTCCAATGCTGGAAAATGTTGTGCATGATAATGCGGGTTTCTGACAGAAGCAAAACGATGCTACTGACTAGCATTCAAATATGTGAAGCGGCGCTGTCACCCAACACAACAAACAAACAATATGTGCAAAAACCAAATATAACAGTGAACAATACTTCTGTGCAAAAAATATTCAAATTCAATCTTCTTATCAACTGCTTGTGTAAGTCAAAGGTAATTATCTTTAAAAAAAAGAGTATCAAAAGTGACTAGTAAAGTAGCAAACTTCCTGTGTCGGTGTGTTAAAGGAGAACTATGGGGTCAGGGCTTTTCCCCATAGTTCTCCTAAGGGTAACGGGAGGACACAAACTAGTGTCCTCCCGTCACCCAAAGCTCAGTATACCGCGGTATACTGAGACGCCGCAGCCGGGACGGATTCAGACAGTACTGTCTGGATCCACCCAGCTGCGTGAGTGACAGCTGGCTCTGCCTATCTAGAGGCAGAGCCAGCTGTACCCGCCCCGTCCGTCCTGCCAGTCAGAGCTGGAGGTTCGGACAGGGGAGGGGGGGATCCCTGCAGGGAGCCGTGAGTGAGTCACGGCTCTCTGCAGGGAGATGATCGAGAAGTGAGCGAGCGACGGTATGTGTTCGCTCACTTCCTGAGCTATTGAGCCGACCTGCGACAGTTTCATTGTCACACGTCGGCTCGAACTATGAGGCTGAGTGGTTTTCACTCGCCTCATAGTTCTCCTTTAAACACATAATTGAAACATAGTGTCCATGAAATCATTAAATGCAGGCAACCCTCTCAAGTCTTAATATATGAAATAAAACAGAAAAAAATGTGTATTCTTAGTAAGGATGCACCGATACCAAGTACTGTACTCAGTACAAGTACATGTACAGATTCCTTTCCAGCTCCAAGACTAGACTAGAGAAAAAAAATCAAAAGTTAGGAGGCAGCTGACACAATTACTGATACATTTATTTATTGTCATGTGACAGTTTTTGTAAAACAATACAGACTAATGATTTCAGGACAGTGGTGGAGCGCCAGAGCCATGTCCCCGCTGCAACCCTGGTAGTTCTCGTGAAAATGCCAAGTATCGGCATTGGTATCTGAACTGGTATCGGTGCTTCCCTAATTCTTAGTCTTTCTTTGCGTGTCACTCTGTCGACTCTTGAGATTTTTTTGTGTATAATCTTTAAACCAATTTTGCATGGAAAGAGATTGATAAGAAGATTGAATTTGAATATTTTTTTCACAGAAATATTGTTCACTGTTATATTGGGTTTTTGCACATGTTTGTTTGTTGCGTTGGGTGACAGCGCCGCTTCACATATTTGAATGAGATTAATGCAGGCTCATGCAGCCAATGTAAATGAGCAGCTGTAAGGAGGAACACCCAGTTTTCTTTAGAGTAATCGAGCACAGAAGTCTCTATAGAAAAAATACTACTGACTACAAAAGCCCTACAGGGCCCAAACTTTATCTGATTGTCATATTTCACTTAAGACAACTTTACCTCAAATATCTGCAGTTATCACAAGCCCCTAAAATTAATATGCTTTGCATAATTATATTTGATACGTTATGTCTACATTTTTATTTAGATTTGGTAGCCTGTCTACTTTTAACCTTGTTCACCATACACTTTGCATTCAAGTAGGTTTATGATAGTCACTTTGATTTTGGAACAAGTCAACTTACCAAATGGAAAAATAACTTAAGATTACTTTAGTGTCAAATATTCTGGTAAAATACTGTCCCAAAAATGGGTGGAAGAGTCCAGATTCTTTAGTTTTGCACTCTTTTCAGATTTTGTAGATTCATATTCCTTAAGTTCATGTTTCTTAATATTTTTTACATTTTTATTTTGCTTCTCGGTTCGTTTAGCAGATTTGCCGGATTGATTTATTTTCTCATTAGCCTTCTTTTCCATCCCCTCCCTTTTTACTTTTTCAGATTTTTTGTCTTCGTCTTTTTTTGCATTATCATCTTCTCCCTCCTCCTCCTCTTCCTCTCCCTCCTCCTCTTCTTCCTCTCCCTCCTCCTCCTCTTCTTCTTCTCCCTCCTCCTCCTCTTCTTCCTCTCCCTCCTCCTCCTCTTCTTCTTCTTCTCCCTCCTCCTCCTCCTCTTCTTCTTCCTCTCCCTCCTCCTCCTCCTCCTCTCCCTCCTCCTCCTCCTCTTCTTCCTCTCCCTCCTCCTCCTCTTCCTCTCCCTCCTCCTCCTCTTCCTCTCCCTCCTCCTCCTCTTCCTCTCCCTCCTCCTCTTCTTCCTCTCCCTCCTCCTCTTCTTCCTCTCCCTCCTCCTCTTCTTCCTCTCCCTCCTCCTCTTCTTCCTCTCCCTCCTCCTCTTCTTCCTCCTCTCCATCCTCCTCCTCTTCATTGCCATCCCCCTCTCCCTTCTCGTGTTCTTCACTTTCTGCTTCCTCCTCCTGCTCATCTTCCCCTTCCTCCTCATCTTGCCCTTCTTCTGCTTCCTCATCTTCCCCTTCTTCTGCTTCCTCATCTTCCCCTTCTTCTGCTTCCTCATCTTCCCCTTCCTCACCTTCCCCTTCTGCCTCAGCTTCCTCCTCATCTTCCCCTTCTTCAGTCTCCTCCTCATCTTCCCCTTCTTCAGTCTCCTCATCGTCCCCTTCTACTTTTTCTGAATTTTCCTCCTTTTCCACTACTGCATTTTTCCCCTCCTCTGCTTCTTCTGCTTCTTCTTCTTCTTCATTATCATCTTCCAACTCGTCGGCGTCTTCATCTTTTCCAACTTCATCAATACCTGCATCCTCTTCTGCTTCATCTGTGTCTTCTACTTCCTCTTTCCCCTTCCCTTTATCCACTCTTTCTTCTTCCCCATCTTCCACCTCTTCTGCTACTTCCACTACAGGAGCGTCACCTTCCTCTTTTTCTAAATTTGTTTCATCTTCTTCACTGACATCCTCTTCAGTCTGACCCATTTCTTTATTTTTCTTTTCTCTACAGCTTACTGTATCCCCACTTTCACTGTCTTCTTCCTTCTCGCTTGATCCTGTCATCTTGTTATTTTGCCAGACAGAATCTATTACACTTTCTTTTTGCTTAACAATAAGTATTTTACCTTCTTTTTTCTTGCTAAAGTATGTAGGTTTTCCATGTTCTTTTGACTTCTTAGTGCTACTACCACTATGCTCTTCTGTCTTAAAACACTCTACTCTGTCAGCCTTAGATTTTTTACCATTCAATAGCGTTTCACTTCCACTATGATGGCTTGAAATATCTTTTATAAAAGTAACATCCGTTCTAAATTTCTGATGTGTCAAATTGTCTGAGCTTGAAGTAGAAGATGAAGTATTCTCAGCTTTACTAACAAAGTTGTACCCATTTCTACTACCAACCATTTGCTGCCCACTAATGCTTTCATGGCTTTGGACACGGATGATTCTGGGGGTCTTATCATAATGCTTTTTTTTAAATTTTGCTATGCTATCTGATTCACTAGCTACAAATGATGTAGCACCAGCCTTACTCTTTGTCATATCTTCCATACTATTCTTTGATTTTTGCTTCTTCATTTTCCTTTGGATCTCAGAAAGGCTTACATTGGCTTCCTTCTCTAAACTATCTTTTTCCAATGAACTTAACTGCTCTTGACTGGCAACATACTTTGATTTGCCAGCTTCTGAGGCTTTTCGAAATTTATCTTGGATACTTTTTTTAAAAGTCTGTGCTTGTGCCTCTGCACTAGTAATTTCAGATTCCTCACTGTTGGAACTGATTGACTTGTTCTGCAAAGGCAGTGATGAAAGAGATCTGCTACCCTCCTTCGTCTTGACCTTACCATCAGATTTCAGTTGCACATTTTTTATGTTCTTCTACTCCACCAGAGAGAGGCAAAACAATGAAGAAAGAATGGAAAGAGTAAGAAAGGATAAAACAACATGCAAAAACAAGCAACATGCTAGAAAAAAAATGAGACAAAGAAAAAGAAAGAAAATAACACAAGTAGGGGAAAACAGAGGTGACAAGCAAAAAAACTGACAATTTACATACAAATGGTGAACAACCCCAAAACTGGAGAAATTGGAGAAGTCCATTAATTTTTAACATTGCCATAATATATGCTTACAGTGGGCATGGTACTCCAAGCATTTCTATTGCAATTCTCAGGTTGCTTGAACATTTTTTTAACAAAACTAAAAATGCACATCAAATTAGAAGAAAATAAAATATGCTTACATTCTACCTGGGAACCAGAAAAATTCCTTACTTTAATTTTTACAGTGCAGATAGATAAGTAAAGGCAGAAATCCGATTCCCCGGATGGCATCAGAATTTTTCCTTTTCTAGTTTTACAAATAAGCAGCTAACAGATAACGGAAGTAATGCTAGGGATTCAATAGGGCTCCTAAAGAAGAGGAAGTAAATTATGACTAACTAGGGATGCACCGATACTAGTATCGGTGCCGAGATACCAAGTATTTGGGCGAGTACTCGTACTCGCCCAAATGCTCGGATACCTTTCCCGATAAAGTGCCGTGAGGAAAGATTGAGCTGGGAAGCTGGCTCCATGCTGTTTGGCCGGCTCGATGCCGATTGGCCGGGAAGCCGGCTTCACAGCCAGTCAGTGTCGAGCCGGGCAAACAAATCTGATAATATACCGACATGACCCCCACCCTGTAGGCACCTAATTTCCCCTCACATAGATCCTAAACATTCTTTAACGTACCAGTCCCTCGGCCAGATCTGCCGTCTCCTGTGTGCACACTGCACAGCGCTCACGTGATCGGCGCTCAGCCTGCTACTGCGCAGGATTTCTAAATGAGAGCGCTGGGCTGTCTGCTTCCCGGCCAATCAGAATAGAGTCGGCTTCCCAGGCAATCAAGAAGCCTTCCTGGCTTCCCGATTGCCCGGGCAGACGGCTCCATACTACCGGAAATACCGGTATCGGTACTTGGTATTAACGAGTACCGAAATATAAGTATCGGTAATCGTACTCAATACCGAAAAACCGGTATCAGTGCATCCCTAACTTTAACTATTAGAAAATACAAAACAAAGGATTGTTACCATTATTTTTACAACCTTTATTATTCACAAAATTCTAAAACCTGAAGGCATGTATTTTAAAGGAAGAACGTCACCTACCTTTTTTTTCTGAACTGGAGAAAAAGTACCACCACCGTGTGTTGTGCTTATAGCATGGGTCTAAAATATAGACACAAAAAATAATTTAACATTACATGCTGTTATACATTTAACCTAATAAGAAAAGATGAAGCAACTCTAAAGACACATATAAACATGTTATCTAAAAATATGTATATCTAAAGAAGACAAAGCAGTTTTTGGTCTTGGGTGATGAGTACATGAGAATGTTATAAATGTGCCCCTATTACAAATTAAACTAAAGTACAATACTATACTATTAAGCATATTGCTAGCCCTGCCGAAGATATATTGCCATTCCTTGGTGAACTAGCAGAAAATACATGGCCTTAACTCAGTGGCTCGATATACAATATATCTTTTCTCAGCTCCAAAACCGAAAGTATGCTAGTTAATATATGTTACTTCATTAAGAGCTCAATAAAAAAAAATGGCATTTATATTCTGCTTTGCAAAACCCATTTAATAATACTGACAAGGAGGGTCATTTGAACCTGAACTGAAATACTGTGATATATTAGAAAATGAACTCAAATATCTAAAGGGGTCAAGGTTTATATAAAGTAACATTATATAAAATGATCTGAATTTAACAGCCAAAAAGATTAACTTATTCCAAGAGAATATGTTGCAGGGAGTCAGCCTGGGGCAGTGCTAATAGGGAGTTAATTTGGGAGGACGGGTATTTTTCCTTTAGACCTGTCTTTTAAAGTTAGGTGAACTCCCAGAGAGAGGAAATTTGGAATGAAGACAGAGGAGTGAGGCTCTCTGTAGCTGCTAGGAAGCAGGAGGGCCGTTTTTGAGAAGCACAGAGTTGTTCGCTTCTGTTGGGACTTATTTGTGGTTTTGTGTTTTTGCTGAAGATAACCCCTTTTGTTGTCACCTTTTGCCCCAAAAAGCCCCTTTCTTTATTTTGGCTTAAAATACAGCAGACTTTGATTTGATAAGACTTTATTTCTGATGCCTGTTTCCCCCCTGATCCCCACAACGTGCAATGCACCATTGGCATTTATAAAAGCTACACTAACAAAGTCATAATGATTAAAAAAGACATTACAAAAACCACCTATAATCTACGTGTATTAGTTCAGTTTTATCCTTATTGAAAAATGTAAACCACATCAGCAATTCTTTCAGCATACGTACCATGTTCAAAATATCCGATGCATCCCCAAAACTTTGTCGGCTCACATTATCAGAGTCATCGCCTGCAGAAAAACTTTTCACCAAGTCCTTCTGACCTTTTTCATCTTTGCACAAAAAAGAAAAAAAGTAGTGGAACATGATTAATAGGAATTGAAATAACTATACAATATCATAAAGCTTACCAAAAAACTGAAGATTTTTAAGATATTTTGCAAATGGCCATTATTCATTTGATTTAGGAAAACCTGTCATTTAAAAAAATGCTGCACAAGTATATGATACAGGTCAACTAGAAGTGGCTGCAAATACTTGCAACGGTCCCTGGCCATTCTAACTAGCTGAAAGTTATGACGTTTGACCACCCTTTCGGCCTTCTGCGCATTCTTATTGGCAGTACGGCATCAGAGGGTTGTTGCAGATATCTTTAGTCTCTTCTGGGGCTTGCACTTTATACAGACCGCTGTATATAACTTTAATAAAGGAGTTCCCTTTAAAGAGGAACTCAAGGTTCACAGGTTTCTCTTCCATCTGCTCTTGCCTCTGGTTGGTGGAGCAACTGTGTTGTTCTGTACATTCCTCACCTTCTCACTGTGTGCCTAAATTTCATCATAGGCATTGTATAACCTATAACCCACTGTCTGCAGAATCCAAGTCTCCCGCAAGACCCAATGGCTATCTTAGGCTATCTTTGACATGCCCCTGGGCTTTAGGAAGGGGGGGTGGGGGGGGGGGGGAAACTCACAGCCGCTGTGTCCTATTCCCATGTAGTGCATGCCACTTCTTTAGAGCCAGTTTAATATTAGAGCCAGTTTAATATGAATAAGAAAGAGTTACTTCAGAGGCTGCCCAGTCTGCAAACTAAAGTGTTTTTTCAGTACAATTGACTTGCTATGTTCCCTTTTGTATTAGCTGATAATGTGTGCTGTATTATCCACTTATACAGGAGCAGTAATTAATATGAACAGAGATCTAGACTGCAAACACATGGACGCACACAGCGTCTGGTTTACGGTCTTCTAATGCTCACATTAAGGTAGTTACCGCTGAATAAGCGTTACTGCAGTAAAGTGCTGGCTCCACCTGGCTCCTTCCACAAGATAAAAAGACTAAGGATGTCATGTGACCTCTTTTTTCCCCTCCATTTTTTAAGTTGGAAACTTCAGAGAAATGTTAAAATAATGGAAAACCTAAACATCAGAAATTAATTATCAACTATAAAAGTAGGAATGGACATACTCCCTGCAACCAGTCTTTTCCAAGCAGTGTATTGTTTTTTTTTAAGACGGTTGTTTATATGTTAATGTTTTATAATTAATCTAAACAAATAAAGAGTTTTGGAAAAGGAAAAATGGGAGATACTTGAAATAAAATGAAAGCGAAGACTTACCAGACTTCGACACTGCTGATGAGCTGTTGGCACTTGATTCAGTACTGGCTTGCCTTACTTTGAGAAGACCTGGTGGAACAGTTTTGCTAGGAACAGGCAAGGATGATTCCAGGAAATTGCCCTTTAACGGTGGTAATGTACGAGTCAAATCACGGATCTGATCAGGTGTCTGTTTCTTAAATAAAAAGGAAACGCATACAGTTACATTGTTTCAGGTACAGAGCTATGAAGATATATCAACATGATGAGAAATGCTGTGCGACATAACTAACTATATCAGAGTGGTTATAGCATAAACTGGATTTGTTTGTGAAAAATACATACTTACAACTCGTTGCAGATGTGAAAGATTAGACGAACAGCTAATTACACAGTAGAAACCCATTTCACCTGCCAAATATCTATCCAGCCACTCCTGTCATACACACACACTTGTTACACTGCTAGCCATAAGAATGACATTCCTATATTCTATTGCAGTTTCCCGCGTTTGCGGATTCCAAACTAGACAGCAAATAAGCATAATTACAAAGCTGAGGTTCTCTTTGAACTCTTCTTTCCTCTGTCTGAAGGTATTCCCCAAAGCAGCTAGTCCCTAAATGCATATAGATGGGAAGGACTCTGCAATACAATAAAACCTGGTTTGGTCAAATCACATAACTCCCCCACAATTATTCTATTTCTGCTGAGCAAGGGATTGTGGGACCATAGTATAAAAATAACTTTGTTACATTCGATTTTAGAATACATTACACGGAACTAACAGAGTTTTGTGATATTTAGGATGCCTTTTTCTTAAAGCTAAATACACAGATGAAATACATATAGGGAAGCAGTTTTATGTGCCAGAGAATTTGTATCTCTGTCCATCTAGTCCTGAGGTTTACACAGCTCTGCTATACAGCACAGCCCGATCTGGCAGGAAACCTGATTTTCTCTGCTGCAGTGATGCTGTAATGAGAGAAGCATGAGGATTGCCATTTCAGTCCTAATTCTAATAATTAGAGATGCACCAAAAATTGAATTTTCAGACCGAGACCAAAAATTAAAAAAAATTGTCGTCAGGTGGAAACCAGAAAAAAAATCTTTTCAACCTTTTTAAAAAACAATATATATTTTTATTTATTTTACTTTACTGTTGGGGGTCTGGGGAAATATCAGGGGTCTGAACAAGGGATGCAATGATACAGTTTTTTCAGTATTGTGTACGAGTACCGATACTTTGCTTTCGGTACTCGCCGATACATTATACCGACACAGATGCTTCCATTGGCATGGAGCAGGCTTCCCGGGTGATCGGGAAGTCAAGAGGTGGGTCATTACTCATCGCCCAGCTTCCTGATCGCATGGGAAGCTGGCTTCATGTTCCCCTACAGCACTGCCAGTCAGAGGAAATCTTCAGCTGACCGGAAGTTCTGGTATGGGAGAAGGTATCAGAGTATTTGGGCGAGTACGAATACCTGCCCAAATACTAAGTATCGGTACATGCCTAGTCTGAACAGACCCCTGATATTTCCCTTTTGAAATAGAAAAAAAAAATTGGAGGACACAGAGTGCTCAATCTCATATTAAGCAGCCTCTATTATGAATTAACAGAAAGCCGCTATATACTCAATGCTTCTGTCAATTCATAAACTGTGGATATAGTATCAGTTACTATGTCCAAAATTATGAACAGGAAGTGATGTAGAGCACTTCCTGTTCATTCATAATTGGGGACACAGTAAACATACTATGTCCTCAATTATTTACAAACACTCAACGATCATTTGTTCTCCATCCTGACTCCTTTGGCTGTCACAAGAGGCTGAGATGGCAGTGCGGGGATGAGAGCTCAGCCTCCTCTAACACAGCTGATAGCCGACTCCTCCCCCGCAACACCAACTCAGCCTCCTGTGACAGCTGTCTCCTCCCCACACCACTCTCCATCCTGATCTGCCTGGTCACAGGAGGCCGAGCGGGGTAGTGCAGGAGAAGAGTTTGGCCTCCTGTGATAGCCGTCTCCTCCCCCACACTGGTCTCCATCCTGATTTGCTATTTGCTGTCACAGGAGGCTGGTCGGCTGACAGTTTCTCTCCTCCCTGCTAAATGCTGCTCTGTGGCAGAGGGGGACACAGAGCAGTGCCCAGCGAGGAGGACAGATACTAGGGATGCACCACAATTTCGGCCAAAAACAAAAATGTACTTTCGGCATTTTGCCGATATGTTTCGACAACCGAAATTTTGGTGCATCCCTACTAAAAATGCTAGATACCTGCATTGTCTGACTTTAGTATGTTTCAGTCACCGTCCTGAAACAGGCATGCTGTAAATGAGCCTCAATAAAGTGTCATCGCTACTTATCTTTATACTTGTTCTGGGTCAAGGATTCAGATAACATAAGAGTCCATTAATCTCTCCTGGGATGGTCTCTTTAAGTCTTTAGCCTTTTCAGTTACAGGTCTTGTCCCTCCCCCGGACTTTGACTGTACAGTAAACTGAATTGCAGCACACCGATCAACTCAAGTTTTGGTCACTTCACTCTTTCCTCCAATCAGCATGTTCCCTGTTAGCACATAAGCACTGCAGCACAACTGACTGGCTTCTAGTGCTGTTTTTCCCTCTACCAGTTTGAATTCTGCTTTACAGAGGATTACAGGAGATTCATAGCAGGTCAAATTCAGGTATGAATAAAAAATAGGATTTTACACTTACTATAAAAATCCATATTTCTGCGCTCACTGAAGACGCAGTGAGGTTCATAGCTGTGGAACCACTGGGCTACAGTGGCTCCTGCAGGAGTGGGATGTTAGGTAAATACTTTCTCCAAAATAAGCAAGGGACAAACATACTCAGAGTATGGGGCAGGGTACTTGAATAAACGCAGATGAACAGATTTTACGAGTACAAAAATCCTAATTTTCTTTTCTGTTTTTTGATGGACACACCAAAGATCACAGATATGGAACCACTAGGATATCACCAAAGGGGTGTGCCAGGAGAATTACAAACTACGCTTAAGACAAAAAAGACACACAATCATATTGCAGCCTGCAAAACCTTCCCACCCAAAACTGGCATTAGCAGATGCAAACACGTCAATCTTATAGAACTTGTATGTATGAACAGAAGGCCAAGTGACCGCTGTACAAATCTGAGAAACTGAAGCTCTTGCGATCAGGCGGGGATCCACGTTTCTTCTTGCTAAAGACAACCTTGTCTTGCTTACATCTGCCCTTCTCAAAGGAATGGCAAATGGAATACCTCTGACCATTTATCACTCTTACATTAACAGGTTATCATAAGGAATGTACAAATCATTGACACGACAGACAAAAAATGACTTATGGATCTCACCTTTCTTTCATTTTGTGCAAGTGACAGGAGTAATTAGCAGGTGTAGAACATGGATTATAACAAAATATTCAAAAATCAATTTACCAAGAGAAAAAAAGATTACATTTTACGAGCTTCAGTATAATCTAAAAGTCATTAAACCACAATTCACGAGCTGACTTGGTGGCGGGCTTATCAATAAAATATGAGGAGATTCCCTGTAGTCTTAGTTTATTGCAAAACTCCTTCCAAACAGATTTATTTACAGGAGCACTCCAAGCATGCATCTAAATATATTAATTTATAGGTTTTCTACAACATGGAATTTTAGAGCCAGCCAGTCTACTGGAATTTTAGGAGCCAGGAGATGTGCTTTTACTGACTACCATGAAAAAGGTTATAAGCATGTTGGACAGCCCATTCCAAACATGGGCATTATTCTGGAGATGCCCCCACCCATTTTCCTGCTGTAACATCCTCCACTCTTCTGGGAAAGCTTACCACAACGTTTTGGAGTGCATCGGTGGAAATTTGTGCCGATTTAGCCAAAGAGAATTTGTGAAGTCTAGGTTGACAATAAGAGTAGCCAAACGAATGGCATTCCCATTCATCCCAAAGGTATTCCATAGAGCTGAGGTCAGGGCTCTGTGCAGGCTACTCAAATTCTTTCACACTACACCATTTATTTATGGACCTAGCTTTGTGCATAGGGGTACAGTTTTGCTAAAACAGAAAAGGGCATTTCCCAAACTTTTGCTGCATGGTTGGAAGCACACAATTGTCTACAATGTATTTGGATGCTGTAGCATTAGCAGTACCCTTCAATAGAGACAACTGATATTAGTAATTTAGGGGGGGGAGTCCCCGTATCTTTTGGTGTAATAGTGTAGGTGTGATGGTCAGGTGTCTACATAATTATGGCTGTATAGTGTACTGTATGTAACAAAAAAATCATGGAATCACTTGAATGATATACCTTTTCTCTTCGCCTAACCCGTGCAGAGGGACATCTCTGCAATGTTGTGGATCTGTCCCCTTCTCCATTTACCATTAAATAATTTTCTTTTATCTCATCAACAATGACAGTTTCAGATTCTTTAGGTCTTGGTGTAGCAAAGACAAGCATATGACAACCACCACATGCCACCTGCAACAGAAAACACAATAGGATTTAAAACAATAATGGTAATTTATGTATTCTGATCATTGACGTCATGTAGACATATTCCTTAGTGCTATATAGAGAACAACAAACCATTGGCTTCAATCTCTGCCATAAAAGAGTTCACAGGCTTATGTCCCCATCACAATCATGCACACACTAGGACCAATTTACGTGGCAGCAATTTAACCTTCTAGTAGGTTGCTGGGAAAAAAAACCAGAACACTTGAAGGACGTCTACACAAACAGAGCAAGAACATACAAACTCAATGTAGCTAGTGTACTTTGAAGGAATTAAACCTGGGATCCTAGCACTGCACAGCAAGAAAGCTAACCATTCATTCATGTAATTTAAAGTAGTATTAAAGGCTGGGTGTTTTTTTGCCTTAATGCATTCTGTGCAATAAGGTAAACACCCGGCACTCTCCTAACACCCAAACCCCCCCACACCTGCAGTCGCTCATCTCCTCCGCTACGACCTTGAAGACACTCGGGTTTCCCCGACCCTACTGGTTGCGGGGGGAGGGTACAGAGGGCAGAAGAGCCATAAGTTCCTGCTGTTGTCAGTCAAGCTGTAACTGCAAGGTGGAGGTGTGGCTGGACGCGCTCTGTGTGTGCCTCTATGGACACGCACACAGCTAGGTGCAGCCATGGCCATGACCATGCACGTACGGGTGCCTCCACAGCAGTCAGCTAGCTGATGAAGCCACCCCTACGAGACACACACCCCACACACCTAATAGTCTGGATACCACTTGATAACAAGGACAGTAAAAACACTAAACAATAAAGGAACATATTTGTATAGCAAGTCTGGAAACCATTAATAAAAAGATGAAAAAATACTGAAGGTTTAATGTTGCTTTAAGGGATAAAAAAAAAAAAGAAGAAGATCAATACGTTACACATCTATGTTCTCTTTACTTCTCCTGTTTAAGTACAATCTACTATGTGAAAACTTTTTTTTTTTTTTAAAGAACCCATACACCCATAAGCTGATCATTTCATTTTATTGTAGTACTCTTAACAATGTAAGGTTATACTTCTGCAGTCTCCCATGTTAAATTTACTCTAATGTTACATTCTTTTGAACAATAGGTGGGCAAACAGAAAATATACGATAATTCAATTAATCAGATCTTTGCAGAAGGGCTATGGAAGCATTTTACAATTTTTACTGCTGGTGTTTTTATGACCTGCTGTATAGAATTAAAGCCAGCCAAACACACAAACATCTGAATGCCTAGCAGTGAGCAAAGAGACTCTCAGGCATCCACCCCTTCCACTGAACGCCACCATCAGTGCATGTGGGCTGATCTGACACTACTACAGTACACTAGTACTGGATAAAATGTAGTTTCTGGTTGCATGAGAGTTACTATTAAAAATAGGTCCAACTAATGCCATATCCCCTACTATACCGTACCATAACAAACTCTGTACTGACTACATATTAATATTGAAATGCAGTAATCAAAAGCAAATTAAGACAAATAGACACACGATCATTTCCAGGATAATGCATGCTGCAGATCAGCAGAACAGTAGGTACACAGGGGATTTTTTTTTCTAGTTAGATGAGAATTCTGGTTAGTTGAATACCGGAGTTTACTGTACAAAGCTTAGAAAATCTTAACAAACAAAATAAAAACTGTGACTTGCTGATGTGAACACTTATACTCTACACACAGGTACATTGTTGGAGCAAAAGCCATATCAGCAGCATTCTGTGTCAGTCATGCAAAAAGAACAATCTGCCGGTCATAATTCCTCACTCTACTTCTGTCCATCTGTGAGTTTTGGGCATTCTTTCCCAATTTGTGTGTCTAGGCACATCCAGTAACATTCTCTATAGTATAAAGTAATAACATGTTCCATAGAACAGAGAAAATCTGAGCTAGTGTAATCCTTAATAACCCTCTATTAATCACTAACGTTCCCTAACAGCTGCTGTGTACACCAAACAGAACTCTAACACACAGAGTGCCATACAATCATACAGACCTAAACTATAAAGGTGGCCATACACTTTACAACCATCGCAAGACCTTAGTCTTGCGATGGTTGTAAAGTAATTTTAAAAAACTTGCGATCTGCCCATCTTGGATAGGCAGATCGTACTTCCGATGACTGCAATGCTGAACGGGCAGTGAACCGGCCCGTTCGGCATTTGTCTCCTGAGCATCATTCAAACCAGCCATACATCGTAAGATTTTTGGCTGGTTTTCTAGCATGCTCCTTAGACAAAAGACGTGCGACCGTACAGTAGAAACGGCCGCACGTCTTCATTCACACTGCACGATTCTCATACGATTGCGGGAATTCCTGCGATTCTCGTACGAGAATCGTGCAGTGTATGGGCAGCTTAAGAATCTACCAAGAAACTATATAAGAATAAGCAACAAGTGATAGTGATAAACTCAAATCAATGCATCAAAAACGTGAATTAATACATCAAACCACAGTGTGATTTCTATTCCATGAATGCAGTTCATAAATGCATCCGTGTAAGTTCCGCTGCAACCAAGAAGATCCAAAAATACCAAATACCAGTGATTGGATTCACCACCGTGCTCCTCCTTCCTGCAATACATTTGTGAGAGTTGATGTGACCATGTACATACACTGGTCAGAAATGACTTGCCCTAACTCCTTCATACACTGTCTATAATATAGCCAAAAGGAATATCTGAAGATACAAAGATATCCGTCCATGAGGTTGAATAAAGACATATGTCCATCAAGTCCAACCTATTTTGTGTATGTGTATGGTCCTATTGATGCAAAAGTTAACTGATGACACAAACAATGCTTTTTTCTACTATGTCTGCCGGTGTTTAGATTAAATTGAATTTTCATGTTATTATTGAGTAATATAATCATATTATTAATATAATATGAATATAAGCTCATTCTTGGTGTTTTCATAACTACATTTCGGTATTTAAATCATTAAGCAAAGTAACTAAATTTGAAAACAATGCAAAGTAAGATGATATCAATGCTTCCTACAACAGATCAACAGCCGCCTGGCAAGTATCTATAGTTCCTTACTGCAAGTGCCGTTTCTGCTTAAACCATCCAAAAAGCTTTCCTTTGTTTTATGACTGGGGACTATAAGCCAAAACAGTCTGGCATTGCGAAACCGGAGTGCGCTTCTAAAATGCAAAGGGGAGGAGAGATGAAATTTGCTCAAAATATTCAGTCATTTGAGTAGCATTTTACAGCCTGTAAGAAAAATCTGAACAAAGGCCTTGAGGTAAATTACCCTTTTTAATGTTTGGAAAACTTAACCTTAAGGTGAGATTCACTTATCTTGCTGATTTGGACAGAATGCGGCTGGTCCCTTTGTCAGGTTTATATTTGTTTCTTTGACCCCACTTTCTGTCCTGGTGACTACATAGTTGCACTGACAGAGGCTTTTGCCTGTTCCTCTTACACTTCGTTTCAATAAAAATGCTTTTAGAGTTGTGTCCGTGCTGGAGATATGTTCCCTTATTTCCTGGCTCTGTCACCAGACAGATAATGAAAATAAATTTCCCCAATTGAGACAAAAGGCTCAATTCACAAAGCTAACACATCAGGACACTTTCTTTTTTAAACAGTTATTTTCCAATGTCCAATGAGATTTGAAAATTACACTCACATGGATAAAAATAAAGATTTTATGTTTGGGTAAAGCAGTGGTTCTCAACTTTCTAGGGCCGGGATCCCTCGGTAACATTTGCCAAGTTGTGGTGACCCCCAACGGTAAAATTTAGGGATGACGCGGCTGCTGCAGCGGCATGGCGGGAGAACTGACTCTGCTGCGCTAGGAGAGGGCTGAGGAGGACTCTCACCTAGCACACAGAAATCACACAGCGACCCACTGGTGTACGCCGTCAGAATAAAATAAAAAAACACCATAGGAATGCATAGCTAGATTCCTATTGGCTATTTCACTTTGCAATAGCCAATAGCAAACTAGCTATTGCACCCTCCCTCTGCTGCTGTCACTAGAAGAGGACCTGATGGAGAACTGCAGGCCCCCCTCTGCTGATTGGCAGCAGCAGAGGGCGGGTGCAATAGCTAGTTTGCTATTGCAAAGTGAAATAGCCAATAGGAATCTAGCTATGCATTCCTATGGTGGTTTGTTTGGTTTTTCTGACTTACGGCGGCCCCGATGTCAGAAAAAAAAAAATGATCGCAGGGAAAGGTTTTTTTTCTGCTCGATCGAGCAGAGTAAACCTTTCCGGGAGAAAGGGTTTCTCACCCGCGCGGCCGGGAGCCACTATCTAATAGCGGGAGACTCCCAGGCGACCCCTGGAAAATAGTCAAAATGGAGCCTAAAATCAGCAATAAAAACCCAACAAAAGGTCAAAACTTTTTCAGCTTTTACCATTTTTTTTTTTCTAATTGACTGGTTTCCATTTTAAAGTGAAAATGAACTGTGGAAGTTGTGCCTAAAAAAAGGAAGGCGGAGGGCAACGATCTTTTATTGCTAAGCTAAAAATACAGTGGTACCTCGGTTCACGAACTTAATTCCATGATTCTGGTTGCGAACCGAATCAAACTGTGATCAGACCGCGATCTCGACTAGAGAAAGCCACAACCATGTGTCAGAGCAGGGTAGATGGCCGCGGTTGTGTTCGTCAGCATTGCGAACGGATGCAAAATTTTGTCGAACCGAATTCAAGATCAACTGGCATACGCATTTAAGGTTCTAGACATACCACAAAGGTACAAACAGCTGTACAGGCCAGAAACTACATGCGACCTAGAACAATGTGACCAAACACAGCACAATATCGTCCAAGCCGAATCTCTATTAAAGAGGACCTTTACCCCCTTTCACTGTTGGAACCCTTTCACTAAAAATCACATCAGCTTGCAGCTCTGCATGCTGATTTAAAAGCATATTGCATTCATTAGTTAAACTTGTTTTTCATTTACTTACAAATAGAGTTAATCTCCTTACTGGTCCACTTCCGGCACAATTGATGTAA